CCGGGCCAACCCACCCAATGTAGAAAAGTATCTACCTTTCTGGTTTCATAGAGAGCTATGAAAGGGACGAATTCCAGCCGAGTCAAACAACCGGCTTGCAAACGCAATCGTGTTGGCAATAGCTCTAAGGAGTTTGTATGACTCTCTCTGGCGGTGTGCAGAGGGTAAAAGTACGGAGGTAATTTATGCTTTCGCCTAGTCACCTCGCAAACGGTTGGGTACTGGCTACAGAGATCCATTTCGCTTTGTTTTATCACCGGGATTATGGCTTCATTTCTGTGTTCCCAATTTCACAGACAGAACGAAATCGCTTTTCTCGTGTGGCGTCACGGCGGTGAGACAGAAATCAATCACTGTACTGGAATTCGACGCTTGTGCTCGTTCAATAGCGCTTCTAAAAACCGTGCGATCACGGCTGTGCAACGTCAACAATGCATAAACTGCAGTTACTTGTACTTGTATTGCATCGTGAGGGAACGACTATGACTGGGTAAACAGGAATAGGGAGAATGGGTGCGTGTGATTTGTTGAAGTTCGAACCAACAAATCAAGCTTCAACGAATGCGATAGTATTGCATTCACTCAACCAGCTATATGAGTTTTCAGACGGTATATACCTTCCAAGTATGCGATTCGTGTTCTGCCAGTGGTATTTCAGCTAAATTAAAAACAAAATCCACGTTGAAAAAAAAAAAAAAGTTTACGGTGACTCGAGCCGCTCCCGCGCAGAATCATTTTTCACGTAAGCGTAATCTTGGGGTCGATGCACGACGAGGGGTCTTCAATCATAAAAATAGTTTGATTACGATTATTTGCGGCGCTAAAAATTTGAAAGCCAAGCAGTGAAGACAACGGTGTTCTTATAAATATTATATACATTTTATTTTACACTGTTTGAATACGCTGCCGTCGTTATGTTCTTGAATTATTGGCTAGCTTGTGGCGGACAGGGAAGTCTTGCAGGTCCATATGATAGGACCTACACTAAACCTGCCACGCTGCGAAAAAATGTTAGTCCAATGCATACAAGCTTGTTCAAGGCGGACGGAGCGTTGCGCATCCGGCAAAGCGCATTCAGTCGCTGCCCGCGGCGTTTTTCTTTTCCTTTTTTTTTTTTTTTTCGAGCAGCGAAATAATTTTTGGTTAAAGGCCGCCGTACAGTTCGCGCTTTCCACTTTTTCTGCGTTTCCTCCTCTCCTGCCCTCGTTTCCTTCCTTCACCGCCCTCCCCCACCTGTTTACCGCCCTCCCCCGAGGGGACAACACGGAGAATGGATTAGGAGACGCCACCGGTTAATCCGGCCTAACCCGCCGAAGAGGGGGCCTGCTGCTTGACCAAAAATTATTTCGCTGCTCGAAAAAAAAAAAAAAAAAAAACGCCGCGGGCAGCGACTGAATGCGCTTTGCCGGATGCGTAACGCTCCGTCCGCCTTGAACAAGCTTGTATGCATTGGACTAACATTTTTCGAAGCGCAGCAGGTTTAGTGTAGGTCCTATCATATGGTCCTGCCAGACTTCCCTGTCCGCCACAAGCTAGCCAATAATTCAAGAACATAACGACGGCATCGTATTCAAACAGTGTAAAATAAAATGTATATAATATTTATAAGAACACCGTTGTCTTCACTGCTTGGCTTTCAAATTTTTAGCGTTGCCAATAATCGTAATCAAACTATTTTTATCATTGAAGACCCCTCGTCGTGCATCGACCCCACGATTACGCTTACGTGAAACATGATTCGGCGCGGGAGCGGCTCGAGTCACCGTAAACGTTTTTTTTTTTTTTCAACGTTGATTTTGCTTTTTAGTTTAGCTGAGGTACCACTGGCAGAACACGATTCGCATACTTGGAAGGTATATACCGTCTGAAAGCTCATATAGCTGGTTGAGTGAATGCAATACTATCGCATTCGTTGAAGCTTGATTTGTTGATTCGAACTTCAACAAATCACACGCACCCATTTTCCCTATTCCTCTTTACCCAGTCATAGTCGTTCCCTTACGATGCAGTACGAGTACAAGTAACTGCAGTTTATGCATTGTTGACGTTGCACAGCCGTGATCGCACGGTTTTTAGAAGCGCTATAGAACGAGCACAAGCGTCGAAATCCGGTGGACTGATTGATTTCGGTCTCACCGCCGTGACGCCACAAGAGAAAAGCGATTTCGTTCTGTCTGTGAAATTAGGAACACAGAAATCAAGCTATAATCCCGGTAATAAAACAATGCGAAATGGATCTCTGCAGCCAATACCCAACCGTTTGCGAGGTGACTAGGTGAAAGCATATATTACCTCCGTGCCTTTACCCTCTGCACACCGCCAGAGAGAGTCATACAAACTCCTTGGAGCTATTGTCAACACGATTGCGTTTGCAAGCCGGTAGTTTGACTCGGCTGGGATTCGTCCCTTTCATAGCTCTCTATGAAACCAGAAAGGTAGATACTTTTCTACATTGGGTGGGTTTGCCCGGGGCGTCCAGTTATTTACGGACAAAATCACACTGGAGGCGCTTCAGCAATGTTCACTCTGGTCGACACACGTGCACTCTAAAAATGCCAGTCGTCTGCCTTCCCAAAAGATACTTGAAAAGCCAATCATAGAGACCGACAGATAACGAGGCGGAAATTATGCTTAGACCTCAAATAAATTATAACACAAATTTGGTCTCGTCATTCCCAAACTGGTTGCCGGACGAAATTCTCTATGCGTAGTGCAAGCCAGGGTTGGTAATAGTAGCATAAGGTACGTACGGCAGAATTCCCTGCCATAAATAAAATGATTTGGCTGACGCCAAAGTAACGCGAAATAGGTGCAAAGAGTTTTGCAAAAGGGAGCGTAAACCGAAAAAAAGGGGAAAAAAAGACAGAAGAAAAGGAAAAATAAGAAAAAAAAGTCTGTGGTGACGTGGCCAAAAAAAATTCTGTTCATGTGATTTTTATTGTCACGTGACCGAACAAAATAAATAAACGAAATAGAAAAAGAACACGAGAAAAAGACCATCCCCTGCCCGGTTTCGAAGCTAGGCTCTCTTGATCGTGAAACTAGCGCGCTATTCGTTGCGCTTATTTGCGCCAACATAACTTTTTTTTTCTTTCTTTATTGTAAGTTGCGCCAACATAACTCTGCCTGTAATGCTCACGCATTCTCACATCATAGGAGAAAGCTTAGGTGCCTTCGTAGTTTTTCATGTATGTGTTATTTTCATTTGTGGCAACAGTTCACGTTCCAGAATGCTTTTAGAGTTTTGGAGCAAAACGAGTTTTCTTCATCCGAGTCACCTTCTGCTTCTAGAGCCAGTAGACCGCACTGGGTCCTCCGGCTAATCAAGCAGCTATTTTCAAATTCTCTGACGTGCCGTCCTCGCATCCGAGGTCGCCGTTTGACAAGCTTATCTTCCACCTTGTAGCCGGAACCCCTACGGGAGCTTTGTTCCGTCCCCACTCCCTCTCGAGAGGATGGCTCGCCCCGAGGCTAATCCCATTCTCTAGAAGCCCTTTCCACCCAACGCTGGCCCTTTCCCTCCCCGTCTCCAGCTTCGGGAGAGAAGGTTCTTCCCTGCAGAACGTCCCGTTTGTACAGCGGCCTTTAAGCAGCAGGCCCCCTTTTCGGCGGGTTAGGCCGGATTAACGGAGGCGTCTCCTAATCCATTCTCCGTGTTGTCCCCTCGGGGAAGGGCGGTAAACAGGGGGTGGGGGGGGGGGGGGGGCGGTGAAGGAAGGAAAGGAGGGCAGGAGAGGAGGAAACGCAGAAAAAGTGGAAAGCGCGAACTGTACAGCGGCCTTTAATGCAAAAGGCTGGTTTTCTCCAGCGCCTTATACGAAAAGCACGCTTTTAAACCAAAGTTTGGAAATAGCTTTTTTTTTTTTTTTTTACAACATGGGTTTAAAGTACCAGTGTGCCGTCAGAACCTCGCAATATCAATTCCAAGATGGCTTTGCTCACAGAAACGCTCAAATGTGACATTTTGCACCTAAAACGTATCTCACCAGCACAAATTCACCGTGAACATGTTCAGGTGTGCAGAGCTAATGTCATGTCAAGGAAACTGATCTGTATTTGTTGCACTGAGCTCTTTAGTGGCAGGAGAGATGTGTAAGATGAACAATGATCTGGTCGGCTAAGCACGTCCACCAAAGATGACAATGTGTGCTGAATTGAAGGTCTGATTCAGGATGATCGTGGCACTCTGTTCAGCGATATCGCTAAGGAGCTTGACAGCTCAGTGGTCAGTGTACACGATATCGTTGATGAATAACTGGGCTACTGAAAAACGTGTTCACGCTGGGTGCCGAAGCAACTCACAGAAGGTCACAAAGGGTTATCTCCCAAGAACTTGATGCGGTTTCAATAGGAAGGAGTGCCGTTACTGCACCGTATCGTTACAGGGGATGAAACGGCGGTGCACCATGTGACATCAGAGACGAGTCATCTATTCCATGGAAACACGCATCATCATCACCTTCTAATTAACCCATTAAGGGCCATTGTTCCCATTTGGGAACAAAAACCTGCGATTGAAAAACTGCTCCCAGTTTTTTCATGTTCGCTTCAAAATGACTAAAATCAAGATTTATATGTTCTAAAAAGACGGATCATTCGGGAGATAACTTTTCGTTCCAATGCTATAGTTTCGTCTTTTCTCAATCACGTTTTCTTGTGGTATTTTGCCTTGCCGCGCCTGCTTTCATCGTTACCGACACGAATCACGACCAAAGGTATGTTAATAATGTAAAACGCTCTATATTTTTATATCTTGTCCCAGAAACATACATTTTTGTTTTATAAAGTTGAATTTGCGGAGACAAATATATTGTGCATGTTCGAGGCTTATAATTTTCGATGTTCCCAAAAGGGAACAATGGCCGAATATGTATAGGTAATGGTGGCGGTGCCTCTGTTCGGCGTTCATGCAGGGGCCGTGTTTAGGAATAATCACAACATGAATACTGGCTTTACAGATGTCACGGTGGCATTGCTTGACGCTTGAAGAGGCAGTTGAAATGATTCTAGACGACGACGACGACAAAGAAAGTGCAGACTTGGTAATCCTGCCTCCATCAAATGGAGGCGACCCTTTGACTGACGAGGAAGAGGAGATTGCTGATATGTTGCTAACCTCTACTCTGCCGTGCGATGTCGCCGGCGAAGTTGAAGTGCGATCTACAAATGTTGATGACCAAACGGTTGAGCAGCCAGCAAAGAAAAAGAAAAAACCAGCAGATGTGCCAAACTGGCAGGTTCATGAGATATTCTCAGAACCAATTCATTCAACTGTGCCTGAACCTCTTCGCGTCCTGCGTCCCGATTTAGTAGACATGGAGCCTATACTTCTCTTCAAGAAGTTTTTCAATGACGAAGTGGTGAATCTCCTCATCACTGAGACTAATAGATATGCCCGGCAGAGGAATGATCACCAGTTTATACTCACTAAAACGGACCTCTACAAATTCCTGGCATACTTTTCTTGACTGGCTACCACTCGTTACCCCGAGAGGATTTGTACTGGTCCAAAGCCGAAGACGTGAGCGTGCCTCTCGTTGGAAAAGTGATGAGCCGGTTCAAGTTTCGACAGGTAAAAAAGTACCTACATGCAGCCGACAACGAAACGCTGGACAGGAACGACAAGATTTCGAAACTTCGTCCGCTTTTGGAAGCAGTCAACAAAAGCCTGCTGCAGTTTGGCGTACTTGCAACGGAGCAAAGTGTGGATGAGCAAATGGTGCCTTACTTTGGACGCCACAGCTGCAAGATGTTCATCAAAGGAAAGCCCATTCGTTTTGGGTATAAGCAGTGGGTCTTGTGCTCTTCTTCGGGATATCCTTTTCATATTGACATCTACTGTGGAAAGAATGCTGAAATATCAACCGCAGAGCCTTTGGGCAGTCGAGTGGTACTTACTGCATTGAAATGTGTTTCTATGCCTACTGACCACACCGTGTTCATGGACAACTTCTTCGCATCGCACAGCCTTCTGCAAGAGTTGAAACACTTGGGCTTTCGAGCGACAGGAACAGTAAGAGAAGCAAGGCTAAAAAAGTGTCCCCTTGAAGACACCAAGCTACTCAGCAAAAAAAACCGCGGAGAGTTCGACTTGCGCTGCGACGGAGAAGTGCTTGCTGTGAAATGGAACGATAACAAGTGCGTGTGCTTGGCAACCAACTATGACACTGTTCATCCTATGGTGAGCACCACCCGCTACAGTCGAACACAGCGCAAGAGAGTTCAAGTACAACAGCCCAAACTCATCCAGCAATATAACAAGCACATGGGTGGCGTTGATTTGCTTGATAGGTTTATTAGTGACTACAGGCCCACTCTTCGTAGTAAGAAATGGTATTGGCCACTGCTTTCCAACCTGCTTGTGACGCTGCGAGTGGCAGCATGGAGGCTCCACGTGGACCTCCAGAACGAGCCTCAACATGATCAATTGCAGTTTGTGCGACTCATTGTACAAGGCCTTTTCGGCAAAGTTGCCCCGGAACGAGAAGTACCAGGTCCATCTGGAGCCTTGCACTTCTGGAACACTAATGGAAGTGGCCATCACATGGCTCCATCCGGAAAGCAAAGACGCTGCCGGCTTTGCAAGAAAAACTCCCGAATGATGTGCAAAAAGTGTGAAGTCCCTCTGCACATCCACTGCGCAGAGCAGTTTCACAAGTAGGTTGAGCGGAACAATATTCATCACGTTGGTGACTGATTTATCCTATGACTCAATGTATATCGATTCTGGCCAATGTTCCCATTTGGGAACCTTATGTAAATAAAAAACCGTCATTGCAAGACCAACAAAATTTTGCACAGAAGTGCAACATTGCACTACCTGAAAAAATGTTTGAAATTTCTATGATACATGCACTAGAAATGGTAGCGGCGTTTAATAGGTTAATTCGGAACATCTCCATCCGCCAAGAACGTTATGGCAACGGTATTTTTGGGCCACATGGCCGAGCTTCTGCTTGATTTTCTCACCAACAGTGAATGGTGGCAGTTATTGCCACACACTGGGGCGATTGCGTGAGGCAATTCGCAGAAAGCTACCTGGAGTTCTCTCAACAGGCATCGTGATGCTGCACGACAACGCCGGACTACACTCAGCCGTCAGTACGCGTGCACTGCTAGTGCACTTCCGGTGGGAGGTACCGGAGCATCCTCCGTACAGTTCCGACCCGGCACCCAGTGATTTCCGCCTCTTCAGTCCCTTTAAATATGCACCTATGTGGTAGGCAATTAGCAGCCGATACGGAAGTTTAGCAAGCCATCATGACGTGGCTTCAGGGAATTGACGTGGATTTCTTCTATGCCGGCATCGATGCACTCGTGTATATTGTTGGACCAAATGTTTGGAGAAGCATGGTGATTATGTTGAAAAAAATGTGCACCAGTGACATACTACTGTGTATCAGTGTATATTCATGTGAAATAAATTTGACCATGCTACTTTTTTACCTTACTCTTTTTATTAACCAACATAACATACCACTCTCAATCGTGAGAGCTGCGAAATAACCTGGAGCTCACACTCCACCAAGTTTGCAAAATATCGAGCCCACGAAAATAATGTAGTTCCCTGGCATTGGTGCATTATCTTTTTTTACGTACACCATGAACCGGTGTTTCTCAGTGAAAAACACTGAACAAAGAAACATGGTTCCTCAGGTCGGCGCTACAACTGTCATAGTTTGAAATACTAGCGTCATCCGGTGTCGGTCTCAAGCGGTGTTGTGAACTTGGTAGAGCCAAATATTGATAACGCTGCGTATTTCTTTAATTAATGACTGAAGATTTGTTAACTCGAGACTAGAGCAGATCACCTTCTTCAAGATATACACCGTAAGTGAAGGCACTTCCCCATTAATGAAATATTCTCCCACAACCTTTTCTGGCATTTTATACTGGCAGAAACGTGTGTTGGTGTTCTCCTAAGTCTTAAATATATTTCTAGTTTTGAAGTTGATTTAAACAAATATGTTTTCCTGACACATAAAACACTTATAATTCATAGTAGCCTAATATATATACTTCGCACATGTGACGGACAGCAGTCTTACCTGTCTATGGGCTGGGCGAGAAAAAAAAAAAAAACAACAAACTCGGTGCACGTGGTGGAGTTTTGACGACTTCTTGGTCCAACACTTAGACCGACGGAAAACCACTAGGCAGCGACTATAACGGGTAGAGTATCAATAACTACTTTGATCTGCTAAAAAATCAATTCGCGAAAGTGTTGCCTATGTGCAAAGTGAATTGACCTGCATCTTGTCAAGGAGGGAGCACTACCTCAGACCAGAGGTCGGCATTTTAGGTCGCCCTCACTCACCCTCACCCTCACAGCCACACTTACCTAAGCCCCTCACTCACCCTCACACTCACAGCTACACTCACCTTCAGCCCCTCACTCACCCTCACCCTCACAGTCACACTCACCTTCAGCCCTTCACTCACCCTCACTGAACCTCACGGCCCTCACGCACTCACCGCCCTCACGGCCCTCACGCCCCTCACGCCCCTCACGGCCCTCACGGCCCTCACGCCCCTCACTCACTCACGGCCCTCACCGCCCTCACGGCCCTCACGGCCCTCACCGCCCTCACCGCCCTCACGGCCCTCACGGCCCTCACCGCCCTCACGGCCCTCACGCACTCATAGCCCTCACGCCACTCACCGCCCTCACCGCCCTCACGGCCCTCACCGCCCTCACGCCACTCACCGCCCTCACGCCACTCACCGCCCTCACGCCACTCACCGCCCTCACGCGCCTCACCGCCCTTGCGGCCCTCACACCCCTCACGCCCCCCACGCACTGATGGCCCTCACGTCACTCAGGCCAGCTTCAGATGGGGCAATTTCGCCCAGAAACTTTACGTCGCAACACCAGCAACACGGGCCGCCCGCGATCACACGCAGCAACGAATTGCTGCAATTTGCCATCGTCATCATAAAATTTTATTTTTCTTGCACTATTTAGACACAATTACGCGTTATAAACGTGTTTTTATGCATTTAAATCTCGTTAAGAATACTAATGCACCTTTCTGAAACAGTTTATTTCCAAAAAAACGATCGATTTCAAACCAGAACCAAGTCTTTCGGTGTCATCATCACCGGCACGAGGCATCACGTGAAAATTTTGCGTCCCTGATTGGATGCAGCCGCTTCAAACGCATTCGAATTGCTCCGAGTTGCATGGCCCTCACGGCCCTCACCACCCTCACGGCCCTCACGGCCCTCACCGCCCTCACGGCCCTCACCACCCTCACGGCCCTCACGGCCCTCATCGCCCTCACGGCCCTCACCGCCCTCACGGCCCTCACGGCCCTCACCGCCCTCACGGCCCTCACGGCCCTCACGGCCCTCACTCACCCTCACACTCATGAATTTTCCTGGTTCAGAAACTCACTCACCCTCACCTCACCTGTGAGGATGAGGGTGAGTGAGGGTGAGTGAGGGCCCTCATGAGTGAGGTTTGCCGAGGTATGCCTCAGACAGGCTGGGCCAACTTAGCCCGGGCGGGAGGAAATGTTGACTCGGTTACGCGCCGTTTCAATCCAGCTTCGACCTGAGTACGAAGGCACGTGTGTACTAGAGTGAGAAATCTTGATAACTCCTTTCTGCATGATGCATCAGGAGGCTGAAAGTAAAAAAAATCTTCGTTAGGAAAACCAGCGCTTTGATTGCCGCCAACCGTTTCTCTAAAAGGTAGACTGAAAGGACTTGTGCCCGAAACTTTCATGGTATTTAGAAAGAAAAAATGAGCTTACGTTTACACATAGAAACGGTGGAAGATGAGGCGATCAGAGAGCGCAGGGACGCCAGGGCAGCGAGCTCTGGTTGCAGTTATTTGTATAGGCAGACGCGAAGCTAGCTGCTTTTGTCTCTACACACTGTAGGAACGCGAACGCGCCGAGCGCCGGACGCTGGTGTTCAAACAGTGAATAAAAATACATTTGGCAGCTAGCTTTGCGTCTATTAAATATTTATTCCAAGCGCAGTGCTCTGAGGCGCTCGCGCGCTCTAAATTCCCACTTTTTGTTTGTTTGTTTTTTGTTTCTATGTGCATATATCGCGAAATGTATTTCGTGAAATATATTTCACGATGATCGTTGTCTCATCAATGAAAAAAAAAAAGTTTTGTCAAATCATTCAGCCGCTGCGCGGATATGTTTTTGCAAAATAGGGGTGTCGAAAGAAGACACTACGCTTTTGGCATTTGAAACGTGTGCGACTTCATAAAATAACATAAAGCTAATCTAAGGATCACCTACATCAATCTTAGTTGGAAACATGACGGGGGGAAATAGTAATAATCCGTGAGGAGCCAGACTTTTTTTTACTATACGATACTTGAGGTGGATGCCAGTATGGAATCTTTTAGTCACTTCCTGTGCCAAACGTTTCCTAATCACAGAAAGTGAACTGCTCTGCAATGTCGTGAACTCTCGCTCAGTATTGGGAAGTACTTTAAGTGCATCGTACTTTTATAAAATTATTATTTTACTTGAAGTGCAGTATATGAGTGTTTTTTTTTTCTGGGACTTTTTGAGAAAAGTACAACTCCCGACTTCAAAGTACATTCGGCACGGTCAAAGAGAGAGACGTTTCAAGTTTCTTATTAATAAGGTTCCGTGTTTTCGGAATTTATTTCTTAAAAAATTCGGAGGTTGCTTTTCAAAGTTCAGTTTTAGTTTAAACTTCGGGGTTTATCGCAGTTCATTTTTGTTATGTTTCAAATTCTTTGAAATTAAAAATTGACTGCGTCCCGTTTTTTTTTTTCGTTTTTTTTAATATAATATAAAAATAAATGTTCGGACGATAACACGCACTAAATTTATAAACAAAACTCACGAGTATCGAAATATATTTTATAACTGCATTTGGCATTGGTACCCTTGCTATTGGCCGTATAACTGCTACACTACAAATCATACGAACAAGTGTTGCTTCAATAAAGGTCGGTACTTTGAAATAGCCAAACTCATGGACGTAGTTGTTGAGGAGCATAAACGCTCCCAGCTGCTTCCCTCCCCCTCTTATGAAACCTTCAGGTTCATATCCTTCTTTGTTGTAATACACAAGCCCCCCTTTATCTAAGAAGCACAACAGTATGGTCTAATGTGGAAACCGGAACAGTACTTTTGTCGTCACCCAGAAGTGAATTGACCCGTTGTACCGAACGTTGTACTAAACCCTGACGAGACTCTAAATTGGCAATAATCATAAAATATTCATAGACAAAAAAAGTATTATGTCTGTTTTTGGGATTATCAACCATGTGCATCTGAAGAACTTTATTTGTAAAAGATCGTCTTTTTTGCTTTTTATTTTGCCATCGTGATCCCGTAGTTCGGAGTTGTTCGGGTAAATTCGAATTGACGAAAATTTTAGCGGTGAGTGTTCTTCGCATTTATCCAAAAACACGGAATCCTACTTATAAGTTGATTCTGTTAAATAGTTCGTCAGCGACAGTGAAACAATTGCTATGTGACCACTTGACCTTATCCAATATTTGCCGCAATTTCCGAAAATAACTGTTGCATTCACCCTGGGCAATGCATGCAAGTTAAGAAAGAAAAACACTCTGGGAATGAATTTAAAGGACATCTTGAAAGATTACGTTACAAAATACTAGAACTTTACTTTGAAAGTGCATTGCATTCATAGTAC